CCCTTTTTTCTCTTTATTTTACTTTTTTGTACTATCTTAAGAGATGAACTAGCCGACTAAAAATCTCTATAATAAAGAAAAAAAAAAACACATATATTTACAGACTTTTGTGACCAAGGGAAAATTTTAAAATTTATTTGGTGACACTGTTGTTTGATGATGTCTTGAACCTTAAAATCCTTTTCATGCAAAAAAAAAAAGCGCAACATCTTTATAATTATACGGCTATTGAACCTTTTATTAAATTAGGGATACTAAAGATGTTTGATCATTTTGATTTGCTCAGTCACAAAATATTGTAATTTTTTTAAATGCTAATCGTTTAAAGTTGATTATGTGGGCAACATTGAAAGAACTATTATTGCAAGGCTTACTTTTTTTTTTAACCAGTATGTTTATTTGGAAGGCTCAATCGCGTTAGCTTTACGGAGCCGATAGTTCATTGTTCTTTGTTTGTAACAAAATTCACTTAATTCTATGTCTAGTAGGAGTTGGGCCGAATACTCGCGGCTTACTCGAGGTTAGAGAGGTACATTTTCGAAGGATAGGATCAGGGGAGGAGCTTGGGGGTAAGGTTTCGTTGTCTCATCAGAGCGTTGTCGCCAGTATGAATGGTAGTGTGGTTCTAGTTTCGTCTGGAGTTCGACCGGCTATGGTGGGTGACCAGTGGGCGACGATGAGACTCATCGAGACGGGGGGACAAGACAAACAAAAACGCAGACAACTACAGAGTTACTTACTTGATACTTGATGGGCTACGAATCGCCAGGTTGATTCAACGCCGAACGAAGTACTCTTCTCCATTGGACTCGGTCCTGAGCCAATCGCTTCCAGTCGCCATGAACGTTTAGCGACCTGATGTCCTCCTCAACTGCAAATAGCCAACGTGTCCGAGGTCTACCCCGGAGTTGACGACCTCTACCGGGTTCTCTGCTGAATATAATATTTGCTTGTCGTTCTTCCGGCATCCGCACTACATGCCCAGCCCACCGTAGTCTGCCGTGTTTTATAAGCTTCACTATATCCGTACCGTTATACACTTGGTACAACTCGTGATTCATGCGACGCCGCCAGATGCCATTCTCCTGTTTACCGCCGAGTATTGTTCGCAGCACCTTACGCTCGAAGACACCAAATGCTCTCCGGTCAGACTCTTTTAACGTCCACGATTCGTGGCCGTAGAGGGCTACCGGAAGTATCAGCGTCTTATACAGAGCGAATTTCGTTTTCGTTTGCAGGCTACGGGACTTCAGCTGGCTACGTAATCCGTAAAAGGCCCTGTTTGCAGCTGCAATACGTCTCTTCACCTCGCGGATAACATCATTATCGCATGTCACTAGTGTTCCAAGGTACACAAATTCTTCCACTACCTCACATTGTTCACCATCTAACAACACTACACTACCAACACCACTATTGCTCCCACGCTGTCTACCGGCTACCATGTACTTCGTTTTGGTAGAACTTATCGTGAGCCCAATCCTCGCCGTCTCCCTCTTAAAAGGCACAAACGCCTCTTCCACTGCTCTACGGTCAATTCCAATGATATCGATGTCGTCCGCAAAGGCAAGGAGCATGTACCATCGTGTGATGATGGTACCGTTCCTCTGCACACCAGCTCTCCTAATCGCTCCTTCAAGAGCAATGTTGAACAGTAAGTTTGAAAGTGCATCACCCTGCTTCAATCCATCTAAGGTCACGAACGAGGTCGAAATCTCATCTGCAACCCTTACACTTGATTTCGATCCATCTAGCGTTGCGCGAATCAGTCTAATTAGTTTCGCCGGAAAACCATGTTCTAGCATAATCTGCCAAAGCTCATTTCTCTTCACTGAATCGTATGCTGCTTTGAAATCAATAAACAGATGGTGAGTCTGCAAGTTGTACTCCCGGAATTTATCAAGGATTTGACGCAGGGTAAACATTTGATCCGTCGTTGATCGGCCCTCACGAAAACCAGCCTGGTATTCACCGACGAAGGACTCCTCAAACGGTCTCAATCTGTTAAACAGAACGCGTGACAGTATTTTGTACGCCGAATTCAGAAGAGTTATTCCTCGATAATTGGCGCACTCGAGTCTGTGCCCTTTTTTGAATAATGGGCAAATGAGGCCATCCAACCAGCTAGCAGGCAGTTCTTCGTCCTCCCATATCTTCGTTAGAATACGGTGGATTGCTTGATGCAGCTGCTCACTTCCGTGTTTGAAAAGTTCGGCCGGGAGCTCGTCCTTCCCAGCAGCCTTATTGTTTTTCAGCTCACGTATTGCCTTTTTAACCTCGTCTAGCGTTGGAGGCTCCACAGCTTGATCGTCGTCTGCGATGTTTACTCTGTTCCTCGATACTCCCTCACTCTCTCCATTCAACAATGTCTCAAAATGTTCTTTCCACCTGGCAGCCACCATTGTTTTATCTGTCAGCAAATTCCCCTCAAGGTCATTGCACATGGCGGGAGATGGCGCTGTTTTACTCCGCACACCATTGACAGTCGCGTAGAACCTTCGCATATCGTTCTGTTCCATACTTTCTTGCGCCTCAGCAATCACGCGTTCTTCGTATTGCCTTTTCTTTCTGCGGTGGGTTCGTTTCTCAGCTGCCCTTGCTACCTTGTACCGCTCTCTGTTCAGCCGGGTACCAGACACTAACATCCGGCTTCTGGCAACGTTCTTCTCATCCGTCAACCTCTGGCACTCCTCATCAAACCAGCCATTACGTGGTCGTCTTTGAGCTGTACCTATCACTTCTTGTGCTGTTGTGTTCACCGCTCCGTGGATTGTGTTCCACAGATTGTTGAGGTCCTCGTTCACGTTGATTTCGCTAATCCACTCATCAAGCTTCTGGCGGTACTCTGCAGCAACACCTTCTACTGACAAGCGATGGATATTGAAACGCATCGATCTCCGGTTCGTTGAATTCGTAACGGTCGATAGACGCGCCCGAATTTTGCAGACAACAAGATAATGATCTGAGTCAATGTTAGGCCCCCTAAAAGTCCTTACATCAATGACATCTGAGAAGTGCCGGCCATCCACCAACATGTGATCGATCTGGGTGCAAGTTTCGCCATTTGGGTGTCTCCAGGTGTGCTTTCGGATATTCTTGCGTGCAAAGTAGGTGCTACTGATGGCCATACCTCTAGCAGCGGCGAAGTTTATCAGTTTCAGGCCGTTATCATTGGTTACTGTATGTAGGCTCTCTGTACCAATGATTGGACGAAAGAAATCTTCCCTCCCGACCTGCCCATTTGCATCTCCGATTACAATCTTCACGTCGTGTTTTGGGCACTCATCATAAGTTTTATCGAGACTGTCATAAAACGCGTCCTTCACGTCATCGGATTTATCGTTGGTTGGCGCATAGCTGTTGATCAGGCTGTAGTTGAAGAATTTGCCCCAAATCCTTAATACACAGATGCGGTCGCTTACCGGTCTCCACCGCATAACACGCTTCATCTGCTTCCAGATCACTATGAACCCTACTCCATGTTCTGCCCTATCGCCACCGCTGTGATAGATATGATACTTGAAGGAAGTGTTGGCGATGGGATCCACAGCCCGGAATTCACGTTCTCCGGATCTAGGCCACCGTACTTCCTGAATAGCAGCTACGCTCACATTCACTTTTTGCAGTTCACGAGCCAAAAGGCCCGCTCGTCCAGGTTCATTTAAGGTTCTGACATTCCAAGTACCGAGTTTCCATTCATTGTCCTTATTTCGTTGCCGGGTCGGTTGCCGAAAATTCCGTTCGTTGTTTTCTCTTTCTTCGTTTTTCTGAGTAATGTTGGGGGTTTCAGTATGCTACCTTACCGGGGTCGCGATACCTACATCATGTTGGTGGGGCTGCCACCTTAGGTGTAGCTGACGTGATACAGCATTTCTTATTCAGCCGCTCGCTCCGAGACAGACGCTGTTTGAGCCGCACCTCCATGGTGAACAGACGCTCGAGGGTCGCACCTCCTCACTTTGCTATCACCACGATCCGGATCCATGTTTTTATCGTGGTGACATTGCCCAGGTTACGCTACCAGCATCTTTTGCTGGCGGTCTTTGTCATCGGCTGACCCGTGGAAGCGTGAGGTAGGAACTTGTGAGGACCAGAGCTGTTGGGACAACACTCCTTCCAGTTTGTCGACTCACCATTTGTAGCCCATTGCAAGGCTATGACTCTTTTATAAAACATGGATTATTTTAAAAATCTGTGACTGTCTGGTGAAAATAAAATTCAAATATCGAGCAAAACATGAGTTCGTAGCCTTAAAAAATTGTTAATGTTATTGAGCATGATTCCCGTCAATTTGTCAATACACCCCTCAATAGCGCCTAAGGTATGAGACAGCCCATATTGGTTGGCTGGCCCCCCTAATAAGGAGGTCTGCGCATGCCTATCTAAGTGATCAAAGTTCTCGAATGATAAAATCGATTCTATTTTTATAGATCGATAGATTAGTAATCGATTATTTAGTATTAGGAATGCTACAACTTCTTAGGTCAGAATGTATCTAAAGACTATCGGCACCGTAAAGTTTTTTTTTTATTATGTTGAGCCTTGCAAAAGAAAATCGTGAATAGTTAAAAAATTTGCATGTTTGCATGAAAACTATTGGCAACCCTGGCTGCATGCATGGAAGAACGTACATTTTAGCAACGGCAGGCGTCAAACTGGTCGACGGCAACGGAACTTCACACATTTCGAATTCAATTGCAATCAAAGCTTCACCAACTTACCTCCGTAGTTCATCAAAGCTCCTCCGTCATCAGTCGGCCCACCCGTAGGAAATCTTCCATGTTTCTTCAATGAAAATCCATTCGCTTTCCCACAACAGTAGCAAGGCCCGGTGAGCAGGCAGCATGGTCGCCGTCGCCATCGTCGCACCAACACCCCAAACGGTACCTCTTGCACGTGTATTGGTGCCATCGATGCCAACAAACTACCGTTTGTTCGGCCATCGCCACAGCCAGCAGCAACCATGCCACCATGCGCTCACCCAGTCAGTAGTAGTGCAGCGTTGGTCTCGGTTAGATCGTTCTATCATATCGTCGTCGACGTCGTCGTTTTCAAAACCCGCGCGCCGTATATTCGTTGATTTACCGCGCTCATTGCCGGATACCAACCAACAACAACAACAACCGTCGTCGGTTCGGGGGCATTCATTCGAGCGTGTGAGCGAGAGAGAGAAAGTGAAACCGCGTTGTTCCGCCGCCTGGTCGCGTATTCTGGTTTTGTGTGTTGAATCCGTTGAGCGGGACGCGCGCCGCCACCGCCGCCGTACCCTTGTGTGTGTATTGGTACCTCTGAGCGGGGCTTCTGCGGTGTGTAACCGCACACTGCCACCCACCAACCGCCCGTGCCAAAGAGCTGGGTCTAGAAGAGAGTGGTGGAGCAGCGGAGGAGATCTTCCGTTTCACCACAGCTTTTAATTCATTCAAACCGGCAAACCGCCACCGCCGTCGTCGTTTTCGTCTTCGTCGCCGCCACCGTTGTCGTTTGAGCCGCCGAAAATCCCACATGGTGCGCTGTGCTATAGAGCGCGAGTGGGATTATAAATAGTTTGACTAATCAAGTTGTAGGAGACGGTGGAAAGCAGGAGGAGGAGGAGGAAGAAGAAAAAGAAGGCAAACGTCGAACAGAGAAAGCGTGCGTTGGTGTGCTTTAATTTTTCCTAAACGATTCGACGCGTGTTTGACATTTTGGGTCACCGTTGTCGTCGTCGTCGTCGGCTCCGTCGGCTCATGTGCGCTCTCAGTGATTGTGTGAGCAGCAGTGCCCGGGAATTAAACGTTGATTAATGCTTGAAAGTTGAGTGAACCGTTTGACGGGGAAGCAATTGTGGATGCTAGAAGAAGCAGTAATCAAGTGCTTCAGATTGGCGACGAGTTGAGCAGCTGAACGTGTTCGATGATTGCTGAGCAGAGTCGGCTTACATTGGATTACCTGTAGCTGTTTAGAAGTGAAACGTGAGTTTTGTTTTTGGTCCGTTTTGTTCTTAGGTAAAGATTATGGGTTTAACATTCTGGGAAATGATAATGAGTTACAACACGCTTACCAAAGCATTTCTTTTAAATAGTGCTTCGTTTACTCTTCACTTTTTGAAGCGTAATTTATGTGGTATTGACAGCATTATATAAAAAAAAAGATGCTAAGCTAAGAAGTATTTGCTTCAACGTGTTTATCAACTAATTCTGTAACCTTTTCGTACAGAAGATGTTGAATTTCCTCAATGGAAAACCTCTGGCAATTGGATTGAAATTATTACCTTTCAATGCTTGATTATTTTTTGAATAGGTCCTATATCCATCTGTGGATAAAGAAATTGATTAACTTGATTCGCTTTCTACCACGACCACTGCGGTATTTGAGTAATGATGATACGTGTAGTATTTAATGTAATCTTTGAACTTTTGATTGTATGCAGAAATATTGCAAATCCTTATCAAATTAAAGGACTCCAGAAAGCAGACCGGATTATATAAGGTGTTCAAAAAGGACTCTGGAAAGCGAATGTATTGTATTTTGATACTTTTATGCACTTTGCTTATCCTTGACAGATACGCGTATTTCGTCTACAATGTGAAGACGTCTTCAGTGTCTTGTGCTAATACTCGAGTATCAGTACAAGACACTGAACAAGTCTGTTAATTGTAGACGAAATACGCGTATCTGTCAAGGATAAGCAAATATGTTAGTGAAATTATATGGAAGTTACTAATCCTTTTCTCTTTCTTTATACTTTAATGAATTTCATGCAGAAGAATGTTATTAATTCTAGCCGAACAATGGATCCTAAGTAACATTGAACGATTATCTTCATCGACTTTTTCTTTCATTCATAACTTGTCGTGTTTGCCGTAATAATTGCTAGATAATAGCTTCTTTTACTGACCACTGTGTGTTGAGGAAAAATTTAAGAAGAGAATCTGTCAATAATACTTAAGTTCTAATCCATCATTCAGCTTGAATAGACAACAATTCTAGATGAACATTTCAAAAGCTCCTATCTGCATTGTTCGATTCTTGTTGAATTATTCTTGTGTCATTCGATTAGTTCATAAAACATTTTCCAAATAGCTTAATTCATCGCACGAAGTACCAATTTTAAATTGGAAAACCGTCAATCCAATCGATAAACAATAGACCCATTCTGCCCAGCAGAATTTAATATCAACTCATATCTTTCAAATACATAGTCAAAATCCTGCTACAATAATGTACGACTGGCTGGTATTTGCATTGTTTGTCATTTCCAAGAGCCGAATCTCTTGTGTTCTTTTTTGTTGCTCCAGCCATGTTTAGACAAATCTGCTTCTGCTACTAGAGCTTGGCCGGTGTGACACGGTTGAGTGATAAATAAACAGAAGCTGACGCCGGTATGCCGTCGTCCTCGTTGTTTTTGTTGTCGTCGTCGTCGACGGTACAAAAAGCCGTCGGCTCAGTTTCACAAACTGAGTGCTTTTGTTATTTTTCTCCGTCGCTACTCTACTGTTTGGGCTGCCTGCACAGAGCAACCATCAGCGTAGCAAATTTGAATAAGACTGAACAAATAGAACCCAATTTTTCGATCGGTCCGTCGGCATGCATATGTGTGTAAGCGCGCGCAAAAACACATTCTTCGGAGGCAAGCAAATGTAGGAAAATACGATTGGATAAGTATTTTTTGGTTGGTGTTTAAAAGTAGAAAAAAGGGAATACCTTTGGACCAGGCCGACGGCACCGGCGATAGAGTAGCGGATGCGATCTTAAACAAGCAGTCAATTACCGGATTTTAATTTATTTATTACTGCTTCTCTTTACAGATTTTCCGTGGAGAAAAATCAATTCCCTCGTTGATTTGGATGAGGAACAAGCGGAGATCAGCGCCGGAGGATAATAAACCTAGCGGAAGTGTTTGGTTGAGTTGAGAAACAAGAAAAGCAGTTTTCTTTTCGTTCAGTGTAATAAATTTTAAAGAGAAGAAAAAAGTGGAAATAATTTGTGGCTCTTTGTTGCTCGTTCATCAGTAGCGCGAAGAAATAGAAAAATTGTTCCAATAGTCGAAGCTGTTCATTACCGGGCGGTAATTTCGTTCCGTACAAAAGGAGGGGAAAAAATCAAAGGAAAAAAAGGAATGAGAGTGTGGAAAAGTGTGGATAATTAAACGTGTGGAAGTTTTCGGGAAATTATTGGCCTCCATCTCTTCCATCAGCATCACCATCATCGGAGCAGGCGCTACTTCGTGGTGCGTGGTTAAACATAATTGTAAAGTGTGGTGAGAAAAAGCACGGAAAAACCGAATCTAATTCGATTAAATATGCCGTTCTCGGCGCTGGGAGCCGTCAATCAGAAACCAAGCCGAAATCTGTTTGCCGCCGCCGTCGGTAGCCGTCGCCGCAGCCTCCTCTGTCAGCGCTAGCGCCAAGCGGCTTTCGCTACACTTGCTTGTGGATTACCAGTGCGCTCTATTGTGAAGTTGTGTGCCGTTTGTTATTGTTGTGATTGAAACAGTGAAATCAGTGCAAACAAACCCCCGTTCGGTTGAGTAACCGAAAACAAGAAACAAGTACCTTCGTCGGAAATTGCCAAGTGAAAATCCTCCGCCACAATGTATCCCAATGCAGGAATCAACGCAGCGGCCGTCGCCGCCCGGCATCCGGTAAGTGGCTTTCTAATCAAGAACTTTTATAAACCGACGACTTCTATTGACTGAGTGAGACAGACCGCTCCCACAACGACGCCATTGGCATTCCGTTTCGAGAGGCGACTGCTGATAGAAAAGTGTTTGTTTTAACCTCTTAAGTCACCGAAGACTTGTTTGACTGCGGGCCATGTTATTTGCTGATATTTTCAATTAGCGCAATCAAGTGAGGTGGACTCAAGCAGTTCGGGCTGTGAATGTGATTAGAGATTGACTGTCTCTTTTGCGTCATGCTGTCTGAAGAGGCTTTACGAGGTGCTTCAGGTTAGGAAATGAACCCACTTGAACCGGGCGACCGGGAGCACTTGGCGCATCTTGGTATTACGAATTCAGTACTTATTCGCTAACTGGGTGTTCGTTAACTGGGCTGCAGCCCTGTTTTAATAAACGTCACATTTAGTTTGACATTTCGTTGTCATAATGAATCATATCGTCAGGCCATTTTCCACAAAGATGGCGTTGTTCCCCTTATAAAAATTGATAGAAGTGGGATTAATTCGCTTTCAATTCATATTCAGGTCAAATAAAGTGAACGAGAACCTAAATAAATTAGATAGGGACTTTGTCGTTCAGTTTTTTCCCGGGCATTATGGTTAAACTAGCTACAATCAAATAATAACAGAATTTTCCCATACATTTTTATCCGCTTTACTACCAGTCCTAAGAGAGCCAAAAATTCATATCCAATGACGAAAATTGTCTCCCACGAGCTCAATCTCTCAACATGCCATATGTATTGATGCAACAAAATATGTGATTTCGCTTTCACAGACTACAAAATATAGTACCTACCCCTGAAAAGTAGAAGGGTCTGTGCCTAGGGGCACGAACGGAAGCTTGACGTAGGACCGCTAGTGGACGGAATAAATATGTTGAGCCTTTAGTTCTTTTAATTGATCGATACTCTATTATCTTAACTCTTCGCGTTTTAGAATTGGTGGGCCAGTTATTTTTTGAATGGTGGCCCTGAGAAGGGCCGTTATTTGTTTTTTTGTCCTTTTGATCGTTTGGAACGGCTGACCTTGTAGCTAATGAAAAAAAGCCTGAAATGATACCTGCAATTTTGAAAGTTTGTTTGTGACATTAAATTCTGAATGATGATATTACTACTAACCTATATCAGTAAGTATAGACTGATGGTAAGAGAAATAGATGATGAATACTTTACTTTAAAGATCTGGGATATGTAGCGCAAAGACCGTGAGTGGTCGGAGCAAAATTGTTTGCTCTTGGTTCTTTTAATTATTTGAAAATCTATTATTTTAACTCCTTCTGTACACCGTTCGAAAAATTCATGTAAATTTCTGCGATGTATAGCGCACATAAAATTAACGCTAGATTTGGCATAAATTTACGCGATATTTCGTGTAAATTTAAGCGAAAAATCGCATAAATTAGCAATATTATATGCAAGCTTGTAAACGATTTCGCTGTTTATGCCAAGTATAGCTCAAAATTAAACGAAGGGATTGAATTGGTGGCCCTGAGAAAAGGGACGTTTGTTTGTTGGTTGTTGGCCCTGAAAAGGGCCTTTTGTTGTTCCTGGTGTCCATCGAAAGGGTTGTTGGAGTTGGAGGGTACGGAACGAATAGTCACTAATCGCTGTTGCCTTTCGGCGCTATTTGTTGATATTGCTGTTGTATTTGCTTCATAGTTGATGGAAAACTAACACGAAATGTATAAACGTGCTACTAATTGACGTCTGCGGGAAGGCTTAGAGCTGGATGATTTACGCAAGTTTATTCTGTCACAGAGACTCAATGACCCAAAGATGATAGTGATTTTCCGAACACTGCTATTGGCACTGATTGATGATTTTTTGCTGTTATTATCTTATCTTTTATCTTTCTTATGCTGATGTTATTTCTCTCCATGGTTCAAGAACGTTCCAATTTTGTGAACCTGTTTTAGCCACCATCTAGAGATCTTAAAATAAAGTGATTTTCATGCTGGTATTTTCATGCTGATACAGTGATTTTCATGCTGGTACTTTCGGGATGGCGTGCTTACACATTCATCGACACTCGATTGAGGTCCCTAGGACCGGTGTCATTGGCCACGAGTAAGATGAATAAGGCCTAGAACTTGAAAAAAAAATAGTATGGAATGTTTTCGGCACCATGGACATTATTCGAGATTTTAGAGGAGACGAACCAACCCACGGCTTGAAGTCTTCTTAACAAAGATATATAAAAAAGATTTTAGAACTTAAGAAAACCTCAGACTTAGGTATTTTTTCAAGACTCAAGACAAAACAAAACGAAATTCTGGGAATTTGCGAGATCTCTGATTTAGATATTTGTACACAAGACACTAAGAACGTTTTTAAATAATCTGGCATTTGAAATATTTCACTATGGCACTTAGATTTTGTTTCTCATTGACACAGAAAGATGGTCAAGATTATCAAAGAATTACTCGAGGTATGTATTGAATTTCAAAAACGAACTACGATATCAGACATGAGAAGAAAAAAACTGCTCGTGGGTATAAATTGTTTTCATTATTCTGGAACTTTGGAAAGTATTCGAATGCTATATTCATTTCATGGTTTTTAAATTAAAAGAACAGCTTAAGATGGTGGAGCCGGGAAAAACCGGGAATTCGGATTTGCCGGTGAAAAAACCCGGGAGAAATGCGGGAAAACCCAAATCCAGTGCTGTTACAACAGGCACGGATTTCGCGATTTTCGCGGATTTGAACTTTCAGTCGCGAAAATCGCGGAAACGTTAAATGATGTCGTGAAAAACGCGAAGGGACTGATGTGCTGTCACAAAAATGTAGGGATTCATTGTAACCTTTCCATCCCGGATTATTTTGCTGTCATCAATTTTGTTGTTAATTTGTGTCTCAATTTTTTACCGGTTCAAACCAAACACCCTGCAAATAATCGAGAAATGATCTCAATTCCATAAGCCACACCGGATTTACACGGAAATTCCCTGAGGTCTGTTCAATGTGAGAAATTTTCCTTGTTTTTTCAATATGAATCTGGCATTTTTCGTTGTCAAATCATAAACGAATCGTATATATGCGAGTAATTGCCATGTATATCAGATATTCTAGGCTCTCCAAATCGTCCTAGAGTTCAGTTGACTTGTTTTACTATATCAACCAAGACTCCAATAATATCTGTAGTATCGAAATATGTCCAAACAGATTCAAACTGTCTATGTGGATTGCACCCGACCTACTGCTACGTATACCAGATGTTATAGGTTCTGAAATCATTCTGGAGATCAGATTATTTTTCTCCTAGATCACCCAAGATTTATTCAATATCTGTAGTATCGACATTTGCCCAAACAAATTTGCAGTGTCTATGTGGATCATGCCAACCTATTTTTGCGTATGCCAAATGTTCTAGGATTTCCAAATCGATATTTCGATACTATAGATATTATCCCAGTCTTTGTTGATCTAGTAAAACAAATCATCTGAACTGCAGGATGATTTGAAGAACCTACCGGAAACGAAGAAGCAGACAACCGTGCAATACAAGGAAGAAATGAAGCTGAACTCGACATCCCAATACCATCTCAAGACGTCATACATGCTATCAAAAGGAACATTTGGGCTGCCTGGGAATCCGAATGGCACCACAGCCAAGCTCAACTGAGGCAAATCAAACCTACATCAGGGAAGTATCCGGATCGCAAATATGCTTCCGAACAATGCATTTTAACACGGATTCGAATAGGACACACTCGACTCACCCACTCGCATTTGCTGCACAACAACCCTCCACCAATATGCAGATGTTGCGGAGTGCAACTATCAATACCGCATATATTAGTCGACTGCAGGGAAAAGGCTCAAACACGAATCGCTTGAGGGATCAATGGATGATTAGCTGAAATATTGCCGTACAACCCAAGGAAAGAGGCAGCAGTTCTACAATTTTTCAAAGATAGCAACCTATATAATGAAATCTAATCTTAATAATTACCATGAGGAATTTGTTATGTAATATCTTTTTACCCGACACGAATGCCACGATGATGGTAAAGTGCCGTTAATAAATAATAATAATAATAATAATAATAGATCATCCGGTATACGTGGAAATAATTAAACATTATCCATATAGACACTATGAATCTGTTTGGACATATTTCGATACTAAAGGAATTGTCCCAATCTCGGTTGATCTGGTAGATCAAATTATCTGAACTCCAGGACGATTTAAAGAACCTAAAACATCTGGGTTACTCGGAAATAGATCATGCATGATCCACATAGACACTTAGAATCTGATTGGACATTTTTCGATACTACAGACATTATTGCAGTCTTGGTTGATCTAGTAGAACAACTAAACTTATGTCCTGGACGATTTGGAAACCCTATAATACATAGTAATAAGTCGTACATGATCCACAAAGTCACATATATACGATTCGGTTATGATTTGACAACGAATAGTGCTAGGTTCATATTAGAAATTAAAAAAAAATAAAGAAAATTGTTCACCATTGGACAGAACCCAAGGAATATCCGTGTAAATACACAACCGTGACGTGACCAAAAAGTGTGACTTATAAAACTATGGTAATTTCTCGATTATGTGCAGGGTGTTTGGTTTGAATCGGTAAAAAATTGAGAAAACTAGAGCCAAATTAACTACAACATTAAGGACAGCAAAATACGTCAGACACGCAAAGGTAATTTTCAAGAAAATTTGCATTTCAAATGAAAATGCATATATTTTTTAAAATTATGTTTCATCAAATCTAGGCCGGTATTATTCAGTAGAATCTCATAATGTAAGGGTGTTTTATTATGTTCACTAATTACTCAGAATTTATACTATACATAAATAGGTGAAGATGATACATTGTTATTTTTAATTTTTTTTTGTTCAAAGGCTACAAACGATACTCCTTTAGTTCAGTCGGTAAAGGCGCAGCTACAAAGCAAGTTCATGCTGGAGGCGACTGAGTTCAATTCCCGTCCAG